ATAGGATGAATTCATGGACTAAAACCAAAATGTGGACATACATGTGGAAATTCATGAAGAACAACTCCAAAATCCAAGAAAATGTGCATGCATGCATGAATTAAGCCTCAATTCAACATTTTCAACCAATTCTTGACTTTAATCTCTAATCTTCCATGAACCATGCAAGAATTAAACTTAAATGCACAATTGAAAAGAGAATCTCCTACCTTAAGCCTTAAATTCCAAGCCTAGAAGCTCAAATATGCAAGCTACTCTTCAATTCTCCTAAGCTCCAAGCCAAATCTCTAAATAAATCCTATTTTCTCCTAGCTCTCTCTCTAGTCGGTTTTGACAAGGAAAATAGCTGAGGAAATATGTTTCAAGGTGTAATAAGGTTGGTCTCCAAATCAAGCCACTAAGTGGCATAATGGTAGATAAGTCTAACTAATGTAATTTAGCTTTATTTAATCATACCAAATCAAATTTAAATTAAATCTACCATAAAGTCACATAAATTCTAATTATCACATAGCACTAATCAATTTCGAAATCGGGCGCCGATATGGCTTTCAATTTGCAGTTCAAAACATGAAACATGAAACATGAACAGATCGTTTTATGGCAAACAGATAAAAACACAAAGATAATGCAATACATATGCAATTTAATTTTGGATTCCTTCTAAATTACTGTTAGGCATAATTAATCATGGTTTAGCATTAATCGGAGGTCGGGGTTATTACAGAATCCATGGTGGCAAAAAGAGTTTAGCTGTGTCACATAGGCCAAGACTTCCGACTGACTTCATCTAACGAATGTGCCCTAACATAGCACACACTAATCAGGATCACCCGGATGTTGCAAAGGTATTGTGTTTGTACTTATGTGGAAAGTTATTCTTTGCCACTTCGGGCGAGACCGTGTGATGGGGGTTCGTCCGGGTTGTTGAGGATCTAGAGAACATGAAAGCATATAATTGGGCTGCAACAATCTGCGTAACTTTGATGGAGTCAATTAAGGAATTTTACTCTAAGCCTGAGAAAGTTACTGGATGTGTAACTGCCCTGCTTGTAAGTGCTCTAGTTTTTTGTTTTTCCTCCACTATAATTTTGATTTTGTTTGGTTGGTTTGGTACGTGTATTTGTTTCGAATAAATTTGACAACTTGTGTTTTTAACCCATGGTTACACAGTTTTGGATATGTGAGCACACCAACTTGATAAAAGCTGATCGTGAAGATGAATTTTCGAGGTTTATGAAATGAAATATCAACAAGTTGGTCACAAAGATAAGAGTAGTGGACATCGATCAGCCGCATGATGTTAAAGTATGAATTTGTGTACTGTTAGCGTAAATATGAGATGTGAAAATTTCTATTTGTGATTTTTATTTTTCATTTTGTTTGCAAGTTGTAGTAGGAGAGCTGCACATGAGTCATTCTGAACAGACCATCACGAAGGCAAAAGACATTAAAGAAATTGGAGCAACTGCTGAATGTTCGTATCGCAGTGGGGTTGGTAGGAACATGGGCTCGACTACTGGGACAATTGTAAATGGCAACATTTTGGGTTCAATTGATAGTATTCGTGTCCATGGACTGGACAACATAAAGTAAAATGTACACATGAAAGAGATGCCAACAGAGGTGGTGCTAATAGTAATGGTCATTGTGGTCAGTGTGCGTCTATGTCTGAAGAATATTAGAAAGCATTGGTTAAAATTGGTGTGCTCGAGATAGAACTCCGCTATAAATCTGATGCCATATTTGCTTTAAAGACACAACTATCAATAATGAGGTCATCATACGAAGAAAAATGTAGGAAGTTAGCATATGAAATCACACTGACCAATAACCAGAAGGAATGTGAGATTGAAAGGATGAAACAGCTAGTGGATGAGCTTAACGACAAAAACACAAAGCTTATGGATCAGTTAGAAGAATACACAGTGCATGAATACACCCAAGCAACTGTTGGTGTACAGAAGATGAAGCAAAGTAATCAGAACATGTACCATTGTGAGGCAAACATACTTGACATTATGTCATTGTCAACGTCATTTCCATCTGATGTGAATGAGAAGACAAAGTTACGAGGGGTAGATACTCATGTGACCCCGACCCACGACATTAGTCATGTGGCATGTGATGTGGATATAATGCTTGGGATAAGTCAAAATACTAGAACAACAACTGCGTTGCAGAACTCGCTTGTGAGAAACATTAAAAATAAAAATAAAAAGGAGCACAAACTGCCAGAGTATAAATACCCATTGGTTTTGGAAAGGTTGATGAAACCATCTGATAGTGGTGTGGTCAATGTGGGTGAGTGTGTCGATAAACAAATAATGCACGATGAGATCATAGAGGTTGATGACCTTGCAAAGCCGGAGAAGACAATTTCTCAATTCGACTTGACTAATCGTTTGCCGATTTAGAAGTTGTTATCAACGTAAGAGAAAGACAAGCTTAAAGAAGCGTACGAGAAATGGAGGGACAGGTAGGTTTCCACACTTACTATTACCGTTTTGCATTTGTACATGAATTTAGTGTTCAACAAATGTCTTGTTTAATTATTAGTGTGCATGTCTGGACTAAGTAGAATGGTTCCAATTTTGTGTCTTTTATTGACATACGGGCAATCGTTAAGGGGATGATGTTTCGAGGCAATGAAAGTATGGTATCCCTAATTATTCTTCAAACTTCTGAAGCTTCTTAACATACGTACGCAATTTACGTAAATATATACGAGGGAAGCAAAATCATAGATGTTTTATTTGTGCACGTAGGTAATTGATGCATACGCGGAAATGCTAATGTACGAGCAGCAAATCAAAGCACTTGCATCCACGGATGATGAAAAATCATACATTTTCAGAACGTTATGTTTGGTAAAACATGGCGGTTTGATTAATTATTTTTAGTCATTTTGTGTTTGTGCTAATGAACACAAAAATGAATGTGCGCAACCTACGATTAGAGATGTGGGCGAAGATATACGTGACAGGTACTTAGCCGTGCGTGCCCCTCATGCCCTCAAAGCCATATATATTCAATTCCTAATCCATTTAGATAATCGTTGGACACTAATGGTTTATGACACTGAAAAGAGGTTTTGGATGCATTATAACTCGATGAAACCAAGACACGAGAGGGAAGACAAACATTACTGGGAAGCATGGTTGCTGGTTAGTAAACGTGAATTGCTTAATTGCAATGGTCTTTGTATTTTATTTTGGACAACAAAACTAATTACTTGGTAATATAAATTTGATAATAACGTAGAAGGGATACTTTGAGGATTACATAAAGCGGAGACTGAAGGTTGGCGTAGTTGAAACGCATGATTTGCTGAAGGAACTTTTAGTGGTTGATTATTGTCCGCAACAAAAAGCAAACTCGTAAGTGTGGGTTACGTTTGTTTGCAACGTATGTCATTCATGTTTCCATACATTGCACGTGGTCTGTTTTGATGTTGTTACTACTGTCGTAAATATTTCTAATAGGGCTGATTGTGGAATTATAGTATGCTTCATTATGAAGTAACTTGTGCGTCACCTAAATGTGGACAAGTCAATAGGAGGAGAGAGCTACAAAACGATGCGAGCCGGTATGGTGAAGTCATTTGTGAATGACTAGAAAAGGTCATTTGTTGCTGCCAAATGACAATTGAAACAATCTTCCAATGGTGATAGATGGGTGCATCATTGTTTTTTTTGGTATAATTTCATAGTTAATTAGTTTTCGAATGGTATAGTATGTTTGACATTAAACAAATTTTGGATGTTTTGGATGTTTTTGGTTGCATTGACATTATAGATTGAGGATTCGTACATTTTGTTTTGGAAATATATTACAATGGTTCATTCATTATTTTTTGTATGCACTTGGTTTTGGTAATATGGCTTTATGTATCATTCAGTAATGTCAGTAGGAATGTTGGGTGACTAAATGTGAATGTGGTTGTATAAATGTGAATATATATGTTAATGTGATTGTGAATGCGAATGTCAAAAATGATCTTGGTTGTTCATCTCTAATACCCAGATTGTGATTGTAAATGTATGACAGTGTTTGGTACTTGTCTTAGGGGGTTGGAAAATACAAATGTGAATGTGGTTGTGTAAATATAAATGTAAATGTTACTGTGATTGTGAATGTGAATATAAGAACGGATCTTGGTTGTCCATCTCTAATATCCAGATTGTGAGTGTGAATGTATGACAGTGTTTGGTACTTGTCTTAGGGAGTTGGAAAATGCAAATGTAAATGTGGTTGTGTAAATGTTAATGCAAATGTTAATTTGATTGTGAATGTGAATATGAATGTCAGAAGGGATCTTGGTTGTCCGTCTCTAATACACAGATTGTGATTGTCAATGTATAACAGTGTTTGGTACTTGTCATAGGGAGTTGGAAAATGCAACTAAAAAGATTGAGGATTGATAATATGCCATTTGTTGTTTACGTTGCTAAAATTGTTGCTTTGGACATTCACGTTACATGTCGATGGTGGATTGTTGTAACAAAATTTGACTTCCCATGTATACTTTAAAGATTATGAAGGTGAATGTATTGGAGTGTTTACTACTTGTCACAAGATGTTGAGGGCGGTGGATTTTGTTAGATAGATGTGGTTCAATTTTTATTTACCAAATGTCACGTTGTCTGTAGATGCCTCACATTTTGAAATTGTCATTCACTCAGTATATATGTTGGCTTATTAACGTTAGAGATGTGCTTTGTCAATTTAATCTCTCAAGAATATGTTGTAATTTAAGATTGATGAACTGGTTGTAGGATAACCTGTGTCACACTGACAGAATAATACCAATGTGACCTAGCTTCAAAAAATATGGATTCTCACATACAAGGCCATCGTGCAATGCATTACCCAAACGTGTTTTGCTGGTTTGAAACATATAGTTGCATGAACAAATAAATAAATATATAAACCTAACATATGAATGAAAGCAGTGTGAAGGAAAAAACTAGCTGAATAATGACTTATAAATAATGTGTTCACTCATTAAAATTTGTCATCATTTTGTGTCGCTACATTCTACTACGATAATACGATGTTGCTATTCAAAAGTGATTATAAAACTTGCCCTCTAAGTATCTATTACTAAATTGGTTCTTTACATGTCTTTCGGTTGTGGTTGCCCATGCGGCCACATCGACCGCACCTTATCTGACTTAGTTTCTCTCCCCGATATGGTATCCGATTCTTCTTCGATCACCCTGGAGGACGTTTAACTGCTAGTGGATATATGATGAAGTCATCTTCCGAGAATGAGGGTTTGTCAACTGTTGGTATTGACTGAATGTATCCGGAATAAGTTGCTTTGTATTGATCAACGGTGAAAAATTATTCAACACATGTACTAAAATCCCTTCCACTATTCTATATTGCAACCACCGCATGTGCACATGGAAATCCATTCAATTGCCACTGGAAACATGAACATGAACGCTTACCAATGTTTACCAACACCATTGGAAATGAATGGACCTCGTATATGTCTTCATTTGCCTGGCTAACAATCCATGTGCAACCATTGGAGTACGCCTCCTTAACACGACTTTCCATTTTTGAACAAAGTAACCCATTCCAATTAGTAGCCAATAATTTACGCTCAGCCCTCATAGTCATTATCTGATTTCTGATTGTATCAATTAACCTAGTGATTGGATAATTACGGGCATCAAGTATCCATTTATTAAACAATTCTGCAACATTCGAGGTCATCTCCTCATACCGTTTGCCCCTGTTGATATTTTGAAAACATAATGAAAATATTATCACATGTAAATATCGTACAAACCTGAAATACGCATTGGCCTAATGGTTCGATGGCATATCTTCCAAGAAATTATTTATTCCAGATCGTCCTGATCCTTTTAGCATGGTCAAATGGTGCTAAAACGAAGCCTCAGTTGGAGCATATGCACATTCACACAACTTGGCCATTAAACCAAAATGGACACAATTGTTAACCCATCGTAATTTGTCCCTCAAACTTGCCTGGAGATGTTGTAAGCAGTACGCATGGTATGCAGATGGGAATACAGTAGGCAAGGATTCGAGCAACCCAGCATTATGATCAAATATGAAAATTAATGTGCGGGCACTACTGGCAACGTTTGTCAGGTGCTGTAAAAACTAAGTCCAATTTGCAGTCGTTTTAGAGTCAACAATAGCAAAAGCTAATGGGAATAAACCTGGCAGATTTGACAAGTTTTATGTTAGATGTGTAATATTTTTAACAAAGTTTACATTCACATTAACAATTGTTCACAATTCAAATCGCACCATAGACAATGATATGAAAATAATATTAAATTGGAAACAATCTTACCACTAGGGATCCCCCACTGCTATAGTGGATTAATAAAAAATGTTTAGTCGTAATGTGATGCGTTACTATATGGAATTTTGAAGTAATCATCATAAGACATGTACCTTTGTCACCATTTTTCCCCATCACTGCAAGCAAATTGCCTTTAAATCTCCCTTTCAAAAAAGTGCCATCAAGAAACAATAATTGGCGAATATGGTTGAATCCGTCAATGCAAGATTTGAATAATATGAAAAACCGCTTAAATCGGCTGGTTGACTGCTCGAAATCCAAGTTGACATAACTCCGAGGGTTGTACTGCATAACCGCATCCGCATACCACCTAAGTTGATCGAATGAAACATCATAGTCACCATACACTTCGCCTCTTGCCTTCTCCACACCTAACCAGGCTATGTGATAACTAACATTCAGTCCGTACTCCTTTTTTAGGTCAAATACGACGTCAGTGGGACGTGTAAACAGCTTATCACGTAATCGATCGCCAATAACATTGCAAACCAATTCAGAGTTGAGTCTACTATTCTTCCCAATGCGAACAACAACACCACAATTATGCAAGTTGTTCAACCTTTTCAAATAAAAGTATCCATTCTATATTTGAACCATTTCATGTATCAACCATGTACACCCTTTTTGCTCTCGCAACGTACACACAACTGTAACGCACACTGAATCGTTTTTCATGAATTTGAAGTCAAACCCATACTCAATATCATATTTGGACAGAACCAAACGAAATGCAGCAGCACCCCCTTCGAAACATTGGCCTACGTGACTAATGTCGTGTAACCAATCAATTGTCATCAACGTTTTCTCACTATGGCGACAATAATTGAGCAACAAATCTACGTTAGTTTCGGGACCTAATAATTGTTCAATGTTAGGATATATTTGACTTGCAGAGATAGTCCCACCGTATTGATTACCTCGAATCAAATCAGTCATTTCATTTTGCAAGTCAATCGCAACGTTGATACGAGTAACACCGAAGGACCTTACAATGGAAAACATGTTTTCCATATCCACATCATTACTCGTCATGAATTGGTTCTCGTGACACGGTAGTTTATAAGATATGGAAATCGATGACGGTGTCACATCCGCCCACCTATCACATAAATTTTCAACTAATTGTTTGAATGCCAATCTATTAACACCCCTGACAGCAACAGTGGATGAACCGAAGATGCAAAATAACATGATGTCCATATCCTGCGCAACAAAATAAATGAAACATTAACCGTGTTACTACATTCTGCAAAAAATCAAAAAAAACAAGGCAGTGACGATATGTGATATGTAATCAAATATGAGCGCAGTAACGTCGACATCGTACAACGTGGTACAACCCACATTCAATCACAATCAATCATAAGAAATTTTACATCTGAACAATGATAACCTAATGAAAAGTTAGAGTAACATTAAAATACATTTCAATAATTTATATCAACCAACAACATTGTCATATTCAATTGGAAAAAATAGAAACCAGAGAGTTTGCGAAACGTAATGTGACACATATGTCCACAGTAAATACAACAATGGGACAACACAAAATAAATAATACAAAAACCATGAACATATCCATGTGTATGTGAGTTATATTCACATACATTCCAATACTTTCCACGAACAAACAACATTGTGACATTGAAATGGAAAAAATAAAAACCCAACAAGTTTGTGAAACGTAATGTGACACATATGTTTTCAATAAGTACAACAATTGCACAACACAAACTAAATACAAACGAACGTAACACAGATCAAAAATGACAACATCGCAGGTGTGGTTTAACATTACAACCTAAACGTAACGTCCTTTGAGGCTAACAGAATTGTGCCAATGTATGGCTGTACTATTTCGCACAACTCAGCAACATTCTCACATTTAAATAAAACTTAATAAGCGAACGTAATGTACTTTTACGAAACGTAATGTACTTTTACGAAACGTAATGTGACACGTATGTAAACATTACAATACAATAACGTTACCACACAAGTTGATGCGTGATTATCATTACAACATAAATCTAACTTCAATGGAGACTAATGAAAGTGTGCCAATGGATGACTGTACCAGATTGCGAAATCCATATCATATATAATGACATTGAAAACAAAAACAATCGGCAAACATAGAGTAACACTTACCAATTGAAGAAACAGACAACTTTATCTCCTTTCCTCAAATAATTTGAGTCCAGATCGGCAAGATCAAACAACAAAACCATCCAAACCAGTAACACTTTCAAAACCCACCAACCTCCGCGATCGTGGCTCAGATCATGGCACCAGACGAAGCCTACACAATAAAGTTTCTTAAAAGTCTCCAATAAATAATACGGTTAATAACTTATAACATGGAAACATATATAAAGGGTATAATATTACACTAATACCATTTAAACACAATTTATAAGACATTGTGAAATACTTTCTAATTTAAATAGGACTTCAAACTCTATAAGAAATTACACAAAACTTTACATTATATAAGTCTCCCGAATAAGACTTATAAATAATTCTCCCTAAAAAGTATAGAATAAATTAGAGCTAAATTTAATTTAGAGAATGTCTAAAGTATTATGTCCATTTTTGTTTATTTTTTTATTTTTTTATTTTGATGAGAAGTTCATCATTTGTAAAATAATTTAGTGAGAAGTCCGTTAGTTTTGAAAGATATTTTATTTCTAATTTTACGCCTTAATTTATCTGTTAACTTTTTTGTTGTTGACTTTCGTTGACTATCTGTTCAAAGTTTTTCTTAACTATTCAAAAATTTTCCTATATGTTCAAAAAAAATTCTTAATTGTTCAAAAATTTTCCTATATGTTCAAATTTTTTATCCTTAACTGTTCAAATATCTGTCCAATTTTTATTATCTATTCAATTTTTTCACTTATTTGTTTAAAACTATCTGTTCAATTTTTTATCTATTTAAATTTTTTTATTTGTTCAAATTTTAAACATATTTTATTATCTGTTCAAATCTCTCATCTCTCTATCTCTCTCTCTCTCCCTCTCCATCATTCTTATATGTACAATACCAAAACAAAAACGAAAATTTATCTGTTTGATCATCATTAACACCAACACCAATACCAAATAGCACACAGATGATCAATTATCTGTACAAAATGAAACTACCTTAGGCAAATCATCAACAAACAACAACAACAAAAAAAAAATAATTAACAAGAACAACCTCTTCAAAAGTTGCACATATAAAAAAAATATGTATTCAGAAGCTTGGAAAAAAGAAAATAGATCTTCACAGAGAAGCCAGGGTTTTGATGTAACCAAACAGCAAAAAACAAAAAACCAGGGACCACGACTCAACCCGACCACGCTACTCTCTGCCTTGGCTGGAACCCGAGCACCACTGTTGCTGATGAAACAAAGAACGAATTAGAGCCAAAGAATATCTATTAAAAAAAATAAAAAAAATACAATTATGAATGTTTATAAACCCTAATCGGGTTGATTGCTTCAAATAAAAAAAATTGAATTCGCACATAGAACTTCGTTGATTCGAGGTCTCTGATTATTCGGGATAAAGAAAACCTCATTTGTATATATAAAATCAACAATCATCTATCATTTGTGTATTTGTTTTTCTTTCTTATAATTTTTCTCGGGAGCCAAACGAGGGGATAGTAGTGATTCAAGTGAATACACACATATATGAGAATTAGAGGGAAGAACATTCACCTGGAGGGTATACTCTTTTGAGGAGACGACGGAAGTGACCACAACCTCCAAGAATTCCGCCAGAATACGAGCCGTCTCAACTGCAATTTAGAGAGAGAGAGAGAGACATTTGATCACAGTCTGACCTTCTTCGCCGACGATCTGACTTCGTTAATCATAGATCTCAAAGAAGGTCAGATAGGTACTGATCTTCAGTCTCTCTCATGAGTTTGTTACAACCGGTTTGCCTTCATCCTCGACGAATCAGACTTTTTACCGACGCAAAAGGTCTATGCCGACTCAAAAGGTCTAATTTTTTGCGTCGGCACAAATTTACCGACGCAAAAGGTCTATGCCGACTCAAAAGGTCTATCTTTTGCGTCGGTAAATTCAACCGACTCAAATAATACTATCAAATATTAATTTTTTGTGTCGGCCAACGGTGCCGACACTAAAGGTTTGGTATTTGAGTCGGTAACTCTGTGCCGTCTCAAAAAGGCTACCTTTTGCGACGGTAAAATTTGCCGACTCAAAAAACCGACTCAAAAGACCCTTTCTTTAGTAGTGCCTCTTCAAGCTCCCTCTCTTCCCGTCGCCATTGTCATCCTCATCGTGTCCGTCAACCCCGGCTCGGTTCCTACACCATAGCGTTGGATCTCTCTTTCTCTCTCTCGTTGTACTGGTAGATCGCAGCGGTGTGGGGCTGCGATGGTGGCCGAAAAGGAAAGTTGTCGTTGTGGTAGCTCCAAGGTTCTAAATCGCGGTATCGGGTAACGTAACGGTATCGATCGCGGAGTATCGGTATCGGTAGTATCGATCGGTACGTATCGGGAATCGGGTGTCGCGGTGGTGAAATTATAAAAATCATTTCAAAGGTTTTTCAACTTTTTCTTTCCCGTACCGGTCCGAACCGGTGAGTATCGGCCCGTCGCGGCTTGTGTAACGCTTACAGGCCGATACGTACCGGGACTCGGCCGATACTCCTGCGATTTTTAATCTCAGTGGTATATCGGCCTGTATCCGTCGCGGCACCCCATTTTTCCGATACGTATCGGCCGATATTTAGAACTATGCCGGTGACGGAGGTGGTGGTCACAGCAATAGCAATGGCGAAGGTGACGGAGTCTACATGAGAGAGAGAGAGAGAGAGAGAGAGTGACTTTGTTAGCGTTTTGACTGTGTGGAGAGATATATGTATAGAGAGAGATATGTATAGAGAGATACATATAAGAAAGGACATTGTGATCATTTCGCTTGCTTTAGCTTAAACTATTTCTCTGCTTGGACCTTTGACCCAAAAACAATCTAATTTTGGATTTTTGGCCCGAGCACCCAAAAATATATAGAAGAAATAAATAAAAATAAGAAAAATGGATTGAGAATCTAATAATTTTGATATCACCCCCGCCTCAAGAAACAGTTTTAGAAAGTTACAATTAACAGTTAACAAAGAAAGTGATGGAGAAAATCTTCTTCCTTTACCATGACCCTAATTTTAATACTATGATCGTTATCTACAGACTACACCAGCTTCATGGAAAGATCAAGCATTCCATATAATTTGATATAACAAAATAGATTAGGTATCTTTATGTTCTAAGAAAAATAATAATAATAAGTTCAAATTTTAGAAAGAAATTAAATTTTCTAATTGTATTTGAGGTGGATTTATCAGAATCTGAGGGTACGGGACAATGCCGGAGACTGTTTTGGAACCCTGGGATGAAGCACAAAGGGGTAACCACTGTAGATGGGTTGTCAAAGAGTGCAGTGGCTATGTTTTTCAGACAGGTGTGAAATCAGCCATTTCTGCATAAGAATTCAGGGGATCTATTCGTACATGATTGATGTATGATATGTACCAACACATCTAATATATTTTCATGAAGCAGTTTCAGAAAATGTTCATGATGCAATACAGTAATTTATAATTCTATCGAGGGCTTATAAGAGCACAAATGAATGGAGAGCTTATACGGCTCACACTCACTAGATAAAGAACACACAACACTACACAAAAGACTGCTAAGCCATTGGAGTGTGCAGTGAGAAATACAATTTCGGAAAGAATATAAAATAATTTTGCCCGTTGGTTTTACCAAAAAGCCGAAGAGAGATAGGATGGTGAAGACGGTACTTGTGTTCAGTGATAGGATCCCGTAGAGTAGACGGTCTTACATCCCAAAACTTACATGTGACTAGTCCGTTGTTTCAAACAGAAAATTTCACAAAAACCAAAGTGGGAGCATGGGTAAATATATTTAGCACCAAATTCGACAAGCATAGGACATGTTAATAATTTCCTAATCATTAAATTGCTAATCAAAATGGAGGCAGAGTGCCTAGTCTTCAATTACCATCACCTTCACAGTGTGAAGAAATCCAAAATGCAGTATAAATTCAAGGAGAGGTTCAGGATTTACACAAACATTTGGGGATAAGGTTGAGTTGGCGAGAGGTAAGGATTCGTTAGTTGCCGCAGCACTCAAAAACCATCATCAGCTGTCAACCATGGGTTTGGGACCAGATAACTCAGTGTGAGGCCTGTTTAACTGATGAACTGAGTAGAAAAATATATCCTTGATAACCTAAAATGTGAAGAAAAGGTGTTAAAGATGAACAAGAATGTCACAACAAAACTAACATATGCTTGCATTGCTATTCATGCAAGAAGCAAAGAATTTTCACCCAAAAAAAATAAAATCACCTGAGACATTAATCCATGGACCTGCTCAACAGTTATCTTTGCACTATCTCAAGTAATCTCTGCAAGTTGAGATTCTTCCTGCAATTCAAAAAATTTAAAAAGTGGTATCCAATAAGAATTCAAGCAACATTTGCAATAACTATCACATAATCTTTTGCCTTTTTATATACATATATCCATCTTGAAACCACATTGCAGCTGCTCATAAGAAAATGAGGAATCTTAACCAATGTGCAGAAACTTGTAAATTCAAAAGCAAAACTGGAGCAGCAGATAGTTAACTAATGGCCAGTTTCCTGAGTAGACATCCATTTTACTAGATGGATACACATTATAAGTTACCGAGCCAAATATCCTAGCAACAATGTACAAAGCTTTTAAAAAGATGAAGGGAATAAAAGAAACAAGCCATTGAAGTATGTACACCAAACAATATAACACTGGGACAGATATCCACTAACCTCTTTCTTTTTTTGAGAGGGTGCTATTAAGGGCCCAAAGTGTGAATGAGACAATTGATTTTCAGCTTGCTCAAGCTTTTCAGCTGCATCATGTAAAGAAAATTAATAATTAATAATTCTGAATCAACCACAGCAAACAAGTCTGTTCATCTCATTCATAGGCAAGATCAGCTACTGCAGTAATTCAAACTTGTTTAATGTACCAATAGTTAGTTATACGAGTACTAAATATGAAAGCTCTATACCTCAACAATAGTGAGAGATACCTAGATCAGAAAGTTGTCCTGCAACGTAGTCTTTATTCCCCAGTAAAGGTGATGAGGAAAGAGTATTCACCCAAAACTTATTCCATAGCAGATCCAAGAGGTGGCAGTCAAGTGATGACTGAAATTTGTGATGTCTAATGAATAATACTGCAAAAACACAGTCAGATTAAGTTATCCAGCTTTAAACCATGATTTTGAGAAAGGTACAGGTGGGCAAGTTCCACACACCAAAAAAAAAAGTAGGAGGAGGAGGAGGAGGAGGAGGAGGAAAGGAGCAACTGGGAAAACAAATCAACCTGTTTACAGTGGACACCAAAGTCTTCGATCTTGTTTAAAGGGATGGTTTGATACTCAGAAACAGGCTCACCTGCAGGCTTATATCCTTCTGGGTATGTTTGGAATGCACCAGTCTCGACTTTTCCAGCTGAAACAGTCCTTGTTGGATCAATAACGACCACCAAAAATGGCTCTTGAAATTGCTGGTTGAGCATTTGTGTTGAGACGTCGATATACTAGAAAGCCAGCATCCATAACCAGGGTGAGAATGGTACCACCCAACCACATTCTCCAACCTCCCCACCTGCATTCAACAACTTGAATAATGATCATAACCTACTTGTTCGTTTTCATCAATAAGGCTTTGTGGAAATAGAACAATCAAGAACAAGTTCACAACACACATACATATGGATTAGGATTTCAAGAGCAAAGTCATAGTACTTCAATAATGGTTTCAAAAAGGAAAATAAAAATACATGAAATAAACGAAGAATCAATGTATCAGAGAACCCCAACAAAAATAAACAAATAAATAAGGTTCCATATTTTTTGAGACAACGCCATTCAAGAACTAGGATTATCAAATAAATAAAATAAGCTCCTTTACAATAATATCATTTCTAGGAGCATCCCAACCCTTGACGCAAAACCTATACAAAATTTAAATTTGGGTAAAAAACACTCAAAACGCTCTCCACTCCTTGACCCAACTTGTATCAAATTGACTTTTATCCAATTTTTTGTATCCAAATCAAGGAAGACTCTGTTAGAAATTGGGCGCCCATGTGGCATGACCCTTAGAACCTTTTGAACCTCATCCAAATGGGTTTTGAATTTAAATTCAAAACCTATTTGGATGAGCCACTCAGGATATATATCTATCATATCATGATATGGATAGATGATATAGATATCAGATATTATCTCATTTATCCATTTAACCAATGGATAAATGAGATAAATATAATATATATCTGATATATGGTTATGGGTAACCAAGAGAGAAACAACGTATGTTTTGTTTCTACCCATGATACTGACTCTCTCCCAAAATAATGATCAAAGTCATTTTGCACTGTGGTTTGTGTGGGTGATATTCACCATTGTAATATCACCCCACTGCTGGGATTGATTGATTGAGTATGGAATAAAATAAGCTCCTTTACAATAATATCATTTCTAGGAGCATCCCAACCCTTGACGCAAAACCTATACAAAATTTAAATTTGGGTAAAAAACACTCAAAACGCTCTCCACTCCTTGACCCAACCTGTATCAAATTGACTTTTATCCAATTTTTTGTATCCAAATCAAGGAAGACTCAAATGTATACTCAAAATTTTTCTAGTCTATTTTGTAGTTTCCAAATTTACCACTCTACCATTAGTGAACTTTTACTCACAATTATGTCTAAATATGAGTTTGTCCATTGGAGTGTTTCATATCAAATAAAGCTTTTACTCAAATTTCAGTAAAATTTTGTGTAAGGCTGGAGATGGCCTAAACAAAATAAGCTCCAGTCAAATACTTTACAAGATGTATTATCACAATCACA